TACCTAATTTGTGAAGTGTAAGAACCAAAATTACTATAAATGTGTAAAGTTAAGGTAAGTACAACCATGATCTTTACCACGGTTTCTATCAGGATATTTAAAATTGTAATGCTTTCATCAATATGCAGTGTCAACTCAGTTCTCAAAATTGTTACTTAGTATTTTACTGATTATAAATATTAATTATTCTTCTTTATATTTTTAAAATATGATTTCTTATTTTTTTCATATTTTTTAATTTTATATTACAAAAAAATCATTAATTATCGACCGATAATTACCAACGGATATGCAGCCATTGAGAAATGAGTGATTATCGACAAAAATCATTGATGAAAATTACAAAGTAATTACTCGATAAAAATTACCAACAGATATATTTATCAATAAATTAACAATTAGTTACTGATAAATTAATAATTAGTTACCGACTCGATATATATGTTGATAAATATATAAATATATTTATATTTATATATTTTATATTTATATATTTATACGGATATACATTTTTACTTATATATAAATATAATTTATTTATAAATTATTATTTGAAAATTGTAGTAGTTTTATTAATTGAAATATCAACCTCCAATTCGAAGATACTAAGTTCAAGTCACAATTCTCTTAATTCTCTTAATAGATAATAATTACTTAATAAATAATAGTTCAAAATTAATAAATAATAAAAATATAGTATAAAGGAAAAAAAGAACTCTAGATAAATATAAATAATAATTTAAAATATAATAAAAATAAAATATAAAAAATAAATAATTTATCTACAGACTATACTATTCAAATTCGTCAATAATATTTACCGACAATATAATTTATGACAAATTTATTAGTTATTAACAGTTATCAGTCAAAAAATTCAATTTTTCTTGTAATATTATATTTATTTATTATTTATTAATAATATATTATTTAATCATTGTGAAATAGGAATGGAATCAATGGATTGTTTCTCTTGTATTATAACTTTCAATACTGGATCAACAGAGTCAACTTTCAGCAAAGATTATAATTGACAAAATTGCATTGAGAAAATTGAAAGGCACGTCCTATAAAGAAACCAGATGAAAAAGGAGAATGCACCTAAGGGGTAGTAAATACAACATGAATTCCTGATATATGTGTTGAAAACAAGGATTCGATCATTAAATATTTTGACGATGATTTAATAACAAAAGACTTCAAAAATTTTTGGGTTTTGTATATATGTATTTCTGATATATAATGTGTGTATATTTTTATTCATGTACTTCATGTATATATAGAGTAAAAATATTATAAAATATCAAATATCAATAATATATCAATCATAACTGCTTAAATTAAAATAATAATCTAATATCTTTTTACTTTCTCTCTTAAAAGATAATAAAATATCTTAATACTAATTTAAATAAAAGATAATAAAATAATATTCCTAACATTACTTCTTGTCATCTTTTTTCTTGTATGAGATCACATCTTCATTCAATTTCATTTTCTTCATCAAAGTATTTCTTCCTTTATCAACTTCATCTCCTTTGTTTCTTTCAAACTTCTTCATGGTAGTACAGTTGACTTTTTGATGGACGTTGAAAACGATTTTTTCATCTACATCTTTATTTTCCTCCTTAACATCAAGTTCTTTCAAGAAATCTTATTTGTATTTTTTCTTTGACTTTTTCTTTTATATCTTTATTTGTAATCAACTCTTCTTTCATTAAATCTAAAATGAGTCTTTTCCTTCTAGCTAATTCCATCCACCATCACTCTTCCCTAGAAATTATTTCAAGAGAAAGTGACAACAACAGTGAACTTTACAGTGACATCTGTAATGAACCTCAACCAGAACTTTCTGGGGAAAAAATTGATGTACAGCCGCTAACCTTCGGCTGACAGACTTTCCCAGCAAACTTTTGACAATATTTTCCAACAATCTCCTAGTGCCATTGAATTTTCCTGAAATGGATACAGTTGGCTCAAGATGGAAACAAATCTCAATTTAACCTATATTTATCAAATGGATACAATCAACTCATAGTAAAACCTCTTATGATTTGATATACTTTTATGTTCAATGAAATAATCCTGTGTTCAAGGCAGGATAGGCATTTGGTGGTCTTGTTGGTTAATCGCTGTAAATGATAATAGTAATTCTATATTGTTGATCATCGCAGCTAAATATCTTCTTCCCTGATTGTGCCTCTTTGAACCATCTGTTCAGGTAGATAACCATTTCAGCCAATCTGCTGGGTTTCTTGTCCAGTAATACTCATTTCTCCCACATATCCAGCAATTCAGTGGTAGGACATAAGGAGAAGGAGAAATTTATTAAGATAATTAGAAAATTAATATAGTTAGAGGGATATCTATACCTTTTAGGATCATATGGACCGACATGTTTCTACCCCAAGTTTGACAGGAAAAACTCGAGTTGACCGGGATGAGGGGGCGGGTTCTGGTTTTCACCGCTTTAAAAAGTCGGGGACGAGAGATGGGTAATACAATCCCCACCTCGACACCGACTTTATATTTAAATTTAAATTTTAAAATATTAATATTTTATAAGTATTTTCTTTTCTTTTTCTATTACATATAAAATCATTTTTTTATATTTCACTAATTTTTATTTTTCTTCTATCCACTTTTTAATTTTGTTGTCTTTTTCAATCTTTTATATTAATTAATTTATTATATTATTCACTTTCTTACTTCTCAGTTTTTCACATTTTCTTAATTTCTCCCATCAATTTGTTTTTTTTTTCAATCTTTTCAACCAATTTGATGAACACAAATTTTTTTTTCTTTATCTTTTTATAAATATTTTAGATAAATCTTAGTAGTAACTAATATTATTTTATTTATAATTTATATTTATTAGGTTTTATTATGTCATATTTTCTTATCTTATTTATCATATATCAAATTTTATCTTAATAAAATAATTGTATTTTAAAGGATTAAAAGGAATTAATAATTTAAACTTTTATTACTTCGAACTAATTAAATAAAAATTAACTTATTAAATATTTCCTTATAAATTATATATTTCATATTTTTAAATGACAACTTAAAAATGAATTAACTTTTATATATATATATATATATATATATAATATAATAAAATATTTGAATACAATATTATAATAATAATGTTATTTCAAATATTTGAATACAATGTTATAATAATAATAATAATAATAATAATAATAATGTTATAAATAAAAAATGATTAAATATTTTTTTTAAATACATATTTTAATATAAATATAATAAATTAAAATATATATTTAATTAATAATTATTATAAATTATAAAATTATAAATATTTATTTATATATAAAAAATAGATAATAAAATTAATTTATTATAAATGTAATTATCTTTTTAAAAATAATATAGATCGGGACGGGACTGAGAACCCGAAACCCAAAACCCAGATGGAGACGTGAATGAAGATTTAATTTCTAACACCTGCAGGGATCGAAGGCGGGAGCAGGACAGGGATAATTAAAAAAGTCGAAGAAGAAGATCGAGGAGGCAAAACCCGCCTCCGTCCCACCCCGTTACCATGCTTAATACCTTTCAATCCTATTAAATAATTTTCTTTTTCTTTTTCAATTCTTGATTCCTAACAAATTATCAAACTTGCCAAATCTTTAATCATGATGGAGAATCGGAGCATTGGAGAAATCTGTCAATAAATAAGGTCAGCAACTGGAAAATTTAAAAACTGATATGGTTTACATCAACGATTTGCTATTATAGATGAAAAACACGATGCCATCATCTGCCAAAGGGGAAAATTCTGATACTGAAGGTGAGAAATCAGCAGAAGAAGGGGGGAGAACAGTGGATTTGAGAAAGAACATGACTTTCTTCCTTGTTCTTGGGCAAAGACGTGAATTACAGACTAGGTTCAGTAATCAAGAACCACACCATTTGTGGTGGAGAACAAACCAAAAAGAAGGAGAATTAACAAGGGAAACAAATATTGAGGAAGTTATGATGGAGAAAGAAGTTGATATTTCCATTAAAGAGAGAAACACATCAAAAATGAAGTTCTGTTGGATGTGAATTGTGAAGAATGTGGATTGCATAGGCCATTTTCTCCTGGATAGTATACTTGTTGAAGAACCAAGATGAAGATTGGCAATGGAACCAAGACAGAAAGAAGAAAGTCAAAGGCAGTCTTGGTGTTTATTGTTGTATAGACTCCACCCTAGTTCCCACCAACACAACATCCAAACAGCCGGACCCTAGTTTGACTGAAGTGGCAAATGTTGAAACTCAAGGATAATTTACATGAAAGCTTGATTGTTGTCTCACTCTGCTTGAACTGATGTGTGTGTGTACACACACACAGACACATGAAATGGTGATAATTTATCTAGAGTTTCGTCCGGAAATTCTAGGAGCTAGATAGGAGATAGCTTTTAATTTTCTACACTCCCCCTCAAACAATAGCATAAAAATTGTATGTACAAAAATTGAATCTGGGATCCTCTCTAAGACTTAGTTAAAATATTTGCAAGCTGGTCATTAGAACTAACAGATTATTGTTAATTTCATTGGTCAATAATTTTTCCCCTAAAAAATGACAATCAATATCAATGTTTGGTTCTCAAGTGGAAAACTGGTTAAGAGGCAATGTGAAGTGTTTTTTTATTATCACAATATAACTACAATGGATAAACTTCACAAATCCTTAGATCTCGGAGGTAGCTAAAGAAATAGTTCTATATTCAGCTTTTGCACTAGAGCAGAAAACATTCTTGTTTTTCCACTAGATAATATTTCCTCCCATTGGATCCCATAGGAGAGCATTTGTCCATAGGACTTCCTACCCAACCAGCATCATAGCATCCAGAAACTTGGGTTCTTACCTTATCTTCATACAAGAATCCTTGTCCTGTGCCATTTTTATGTTCTTTTCATCAATTCAATAGAAAATTTCTTTCTTTTTCTTTTCAATTCTTGGTTACTAACAGCATGTTTTATGTTTAGTGAACCCATATTATATTTGCCTAATTTTTAGAAAGAATACCCACATATATCTCATATATCAAATAATAGGTGTTTATAGGAATTAGTATTGTAGGAGTGAAACTCACTTACTGTTTGGCTAGCAACTAGTACGCACTAAGTGTATATAGATGGATGTTCTGCATACAGGATGTAATACATAAACTAATTCCATTCATGGCTATATTTCTCTCTTCCCCCCCGCCCCCTAACAAACAGATGTATCAGGAGCCATCTAACATATCATCCCAAAAAATGCATCTCTCAAAGGATCAACTGAAAGTGTCATAATAGAATACTGAAAGTGACATAAGACTCAGAATACCTCATCCATGAAAGGAAAATCCTTAGTTAACTGTGACGACGAAGAGGAATTTGCCATTTTAGAGCCAGTTAGAGAACCATTGCCCAAACTAGTTATGAAGTAAGAGGTGGGAGCAGATCCATTGCATGTCTCAGCTTGAAGTGACAAATTTTGTTGGCTTGGAGAATTTCTACTGGTGTTTAACTTGGAGTTCAGCTCTTCGATACGATTTGTAAACTTATCCATTCTATCATTGAGGGCAGAAATTTGGTCTGAAAGCTAATTGATGGCTCCCTACCAGATATTAGATAAGTGAAGAAAAAAATCTGATAGTTAATTGGGGAATGGACGAATACAGAAGTGATTATATGAATTCAGTATCTTTACATGAATTAAAACCAAAAAAACTGCTACAAGTAGCTCAATATACCTGATTAACTGACATTGCACTGGACTCTGAATTTCTTTCACCAAACCTTCTATTGTTGGCATCATATCCAGTAACCTTGGCAAGGTTTTCTGTCTCTTTGATAGGTATATGACTGTGACATTCCACTGTTGAAGATAAACAATCCATATTATATTAGGTAACTGCAAAGCATATTCCAAGAAGTATACAATATGTTTCGTTTAGTAAACATGGTTCAATGATGTACCTGAGTAACTGACCCATATCAAATTGAATTATCTAAATTGATGTTTGTCAAAGTAAATTGATTTTCTCTCAATATAGTTCTGGATATGGATTTAAATTTTGCGAATGTGCAATTATGATATGTCACTAACAATTTTGAATAAAAACATCAATTACACCTTGTCCCAACAGGTAGGGTTGGCTATAGATTAATCAACACTATTAAATGTTATAAAAAAAACTACAGTAAAACCCTTTAGAGCAAGGTCTTTATTGTGGTTTCATCTTAATGTATTAGATGGAAAATTTTCACCTCCTCAGATGTTTATTTCTCATGGCAACTCTATCAGCAGAGGTTGTAGAAAGTGCTTCCTTGGGGATTGACACCAAATCCTCATCTAGGCTGAGCTTTGTCTTCATATCATCTGGTAGGGCCTGTAGAAGTGGAACAATTAGACAGAAAATGCTGACACAAGAAAACATATCAGCAGATGGTAAGCTCTCATACCATAACCTCATCCACAAGCTTTTCAATTTGAATTTGCTCAATGTAGGTCCGAGGAATGTAGGAACCATCTAGACCCAGCTGTTGTCCTATGTATTTCAAAACTAAGCAATCTCTTCCTTGTACCTGTTTATCAATGAGTTCAAAAATCCAAACAAATCAGTGAAACACAAAATTTGTTAACAACCAAACAATAAAATAAATACAAAAACAAATGAAATAAAAGGACAAACATTCAATCTGTCACTGTTGAATGATAAACAAAGCATTTTTTACCAGAAGCAACCCAAGTCAACATGGAAATAAAATTGTGAACACATTAATTTAAACAACTTTTAACTTCATATGTGTATTTTCTTTGGATGGCCTTTCCATACAGTGGTGAAAAAAATACAAAATGAATAAAAACAATTTATTTGAGATCTATCATTTTGTAAAGTACTCAAGATCTTGAGATAAAACTAATTACACTTGAGCAATAGATGGATATACGTACAAAAATGAAAATAATATGTAAAAACTCATTGACTCCCATAAATTCCAACAATCAGGCTAATTAATGAGTGCAATTGAAACTTGTGATGGATATAAATGCATATCTAAATTAGAAATCTGAAGAAAAAGAGAATTTCAACCAATGTATTCCACTATAGCATTTACAGTAGCATGATTGTATCATAGGCATAATCTAATATTACCTGAACATAATGTCTATTAAGTTGCTCAAGCCAATCTAGTTTCACACAAACCCTATCATCAGAAAAAACATGATTGTTTCTCTTAAGGATAGTAGCTATTGTGTATCCCAAGTCCATTAGTCCACCTAGAAGGCGCACACTGACCACACAAGTAATTCTTGGTGATATAACAAATGGATTATCTGTCACCCATTCCTGAAATGTTATAAGAGATCAATTAGTTTACACTCTGTTGAAAATTCATTCTCCATGAATCATGGGAGAATTTTAAACAAATATAATATGCAATACACCAAAGATATGATATCTTAATAGCATACCAAGGCAACAAAATGTGTGTTGTTGCAGTCCAAAAGAATCAAAAGAAGGGAATAACCAACAAACTATGAAGCCTTTCAAATTCTACTTCAGTAGTATTTCTTGTACAAATGGTTGCATAATAAACCCAAAATTGGAGAACAGAAAAGTTGAGAATGTTCAAGCGTCAAAACAGAATTCCAAACTACTGAAAGTGATGAAGATCTTATTGAAATACATTGGCAAAGATCTCATTGATTTGATGAAGTCAAAGATGAAGTCAAAAGTCAACTTTGCAGCGGTCAACAAGTCACTTTGATAAAAGAGTAGAAAGATTAGTGTGTCTACAAAATGCTTAGGTAAAATCATTTTATCTTTTCTGCTGCATGAGGTTTCTTCACTTAAAAGATTTTGCAAAATGCCTCTAAAATCGTTTTAAACAATTAAAAACAAAGTATTTTGACAAAAGCTTTCTTAAACATGTTTTTAACTGATACAGTTTTGAAATAACCGATTAAAATCACTTAGAATGTTCAAAGAAGTGTTTTTACAGTATTTTAATCGATACAACTTGATTTTAATCGATTAAATCCATTTAGAACTCATTATGATCGATCAGAATACAAATATGACCGATCAGAATCAGATGTAATCGATCAGATTTAAATTATGAGCGATCAGAATTTTTTCAATCGATTAAAACACGTTTCAATCGATTAAAATCACTTAAAGGTTCAGGATGATCGATCAGAATGCAATTATGACCGATCAAAATCAGTTATGATCGATCAGAATTGTGTTATGACCGATCAGAACTGTTTCAATCGATTAAAACACGTTCAATCGATTAAAATCACTTAAAGGTTCAGGATGATCGATCAGAATGTAATTATGACCGATCAGAATCAGTTATGATCGATCAGAATTGAGTTATGACCGATCAGAACTGTTTCAATCGATTAAAACACGTTTCAACCGATTAAAACAACTTGGAAAAATTATGTACAGAGTTTTAATCGATTAAAACCTATTTTTATCAGTTAAAATAACTTGAAAAGTTTTACAAGAAAGTTTTTGCAGTATTTCAATCGATTGAATCGCGAAACAATCGATTAAATCAACTTAGAAGATTTTTTGTAAAGTGTTTTAATTGATATAAATGTTTTCGTATCAGTTAAAACAAATATGTTAAAGAATCAAGAACGTATTAATGGATTAAAAGAAGTTTTATAAGAATCTTTTAACAGATTAATTAATACAGCAGTTTTGAAAATCTTCTATAAAAACAGAGTTGCTTGAAACTTTTAATACATCAGTTTTTACACATCCTTGAGCAATCAATCAAGCAACTTTAGCACTCTTTCCAAGAAAGATTCGCGGCAGTTTTTGAGAAGTTCTTTAAAAATCTTTCTTGAGGCATATTGCTTTTCTTTAAAGAAGAAACTCACTGCAGAATAGCATAAACTAGTTTGAGCTTTCTAGTTTCTTCTTTTTCAATTCTTTTTCATTCTTTTGTACTGTGTGGTGCCTGGAATTTAGGTGCTAGTTTCTCTGCAGCTGGAAGTTGGTTGTAGAGGTTATCAAGAACTGGAATTTGGTTCTTTGGTTTCTCTGCAGCTGGAATTTGGTTGTAGAGGTTATCAAGAACTGGAATTTGGTTCTTGGTGAGAGGTTGAGTGCAGGAACTGGAATTTGGTTCTTGTGATAGATTAGGTGTAAGATAGTTGAATCTGTAAAACATTTAATCTAGTGGAACCCAGCTGGAATTTGGCTGGAGACTGGACGTAGCCCTGGTATTGGGTGAACCAGTATAAAATACCGGTGATATCTTTCTTAACCTTTCTCTCCTTTAAATTTTGTTGCTGCATTATTTTGATTGATTGCTTTGAGATTCAAGAACAGATCTGTAAACTTAATTTTCGAATTAGATAACCTGTTATTTGCGAAAAAATTTCAAAGATCAATTCACCCCCCTCTTGATCTAAAACTACTTTTCTAACAACTACTGTAATTCATCACTGAACCTAGCAGTTTAGGAGAGGCAATGAATGATATTGTGGCAATCAATTCTGTACACAAGGTCATCATTCCAGAGTGTAATAGAAGAATTTCAAAGCATAATTCACAGTATATGTGCTCTCACTTTATATAAAAAATACGTTTTCCCCTTCTTCTGGAGATCAAATGTACATCTCATCATCCACTCCACTCCAGTAATGTTAGTCTTTTTGGTTCCAAAATTTTTAAAAAAGTATTAGGATCATATGCAATTGAATGTACATTAGGAAAAAAATAATGAGAAAATGCAAAATTATTCAAACAAATCTCCACTTTTTAGCTCAGTGGATATGAATTGAGGAACTGGAATAAGCTGATATGTATCGTAACCAAAGGAACTCATCAAAAATATGAATTATTAATAACAACCAAAAGTATATGAATCAATGATGATAAAAAGTTGGTGGATTGATCATCAATAAAAGGATAATAGTGAGCTCTGTTTTACAAGAAAATGTAATTGAACAAGTAAAACAACAGTATAGCTAAAACTTCTCATAGAAAGCCTCTATATCTGAAACTTCTCAAACAATGCCAGAGTTGAATACATGTAAATCCAGTAAGGTATTGTAATGTCCCGTCTCAATTTCCTCATCTTTTACATGATGAAGAACAAGGGTCTCAATAACAAGGTCTTCCCAATCAACATCGTCAACTACCATTCCTTTTCTCTTCCTTCTTTCAGGGCAAGAGCTATGTGAAGGTGCAGGAATCTCAGCACCCAAGGGATGCATAATTCGCTTTATCCTTAGCTTAGCAGCATTGATTCTCTCCTGCCTCATTTTACATTTCAATTGACCATTGACAAATGATGGCGGCATGGTCTCCACTCCAATATCCTTCTCCAGAAGATGTTTAAGCAGAAGCTTTTTGCTCAGTTCAGATTTTCCATCCCACCACTCTGTACACTGTTGCAGATCAAATCCAAAACTTCTTCTTTTCCGAGCATTCCCACTCCCTCTCAAAGGCTCGGCACAACGATTTTCATCTAAAAACTTCTTATACAGCACAGACAAGCATTCAGGCGAAACCTGCAGCCTGTCAGCATCCCCAACACCCAATCTATTAGCCTTACTCTCCGTCGAAAAATACTGCAGATCCTTCCGCGAAGTCACCCCATCAACCCCATATTCTAATTCATCATCATGTCTCAAGCATTCAGCAACCACACCCTCCAAGTCCACTGCAGCTCGATGAAGATCCTTCCTCTTCTCCTGAATCACCCCAGGCTTCAACATAGCCTTCCTCTCCAAATACTGAATCACAAAAGGCGCATTCTTAACAATGTTCTTAAGAGTAACATCCTTCCCCCAAGGCAGTACCTGCGCAACTTTCACAAGTGTCTCGAGCAACTCCTTATACCTAGTCCTACAAGTTGAAACCTTAGCATGAACCTCCCTAGCCAATTCCTCCATCTCCACCGCAATCCCATTCAGCTCCGCCACAAACACCACCACCGCCACCACCAACGGAAGCGGCCGCCGACCAGTGCTCAAAAACCACTTCACCGCACACTGAATCAAAAACACCCCCTGCTTCTGAATCCTATCAATCACACCCCTATCAAGAGAGGCAAAAATTCTCGAATTCTTAATTGTGCGTTCCAACGAATGCACAATGTCAAACTCCGGAAAATCACACCTCAGATTCAAAAAATCAACGACACGCAGAATCATCCTACCGATTTCATACAAGTCGGACCCCACCGCTGAGGCGACTTCCGCCATCGGCAAGGGTCGATCCTCCCTTCGCATGACAACATACGCGCACGCACCGATGAGCACGCGGAACCACTCGCCCTGGCCGAACTCGCCCTCGGTGATAGTGGACGCCATGCTCCTGACGTCAACGCTCTTGGAAGATAACCCTAGGGTGTAAGTTACTTCCTCGATGGTGGTTTGCACGGCGAAAAGTTTCCTCTCTTTGTACGAAAAAAGGCTGCCCGAACCTGCGGTGCCGACACGGATAAAGGTGCCCTGAGGACCGTCGATGGCGCCGATTTGGGCGTCGAATTGGTCGAACTGCTGAATGCCGCCGCACGAGGAACAGATTAACTCGCCAGAGACATCGTCGCGGATGAACGATGTTTTGTTGCAGTAGCTGCACGGAGAAGACATCACGTACCAAAATTATTAATTACTTTGGGTTTTATAAATAATACCGACTTCCGAGCTGAATAGAGCTGAGCTTGTGACACTCTAAATCTAAGGTAAGGTAGGAATCGAGTCAAATCGGGATTTTTGGCATCAATGACCTTAACGCTAGGGATAAAGCCTTTCTTTCATAACCAAATTCATTCGATGAAAAGAAACGCCAACCCCGGACCCTGACGTGAACGAAGCTCCAATGAGTCGCTCCTCGCTGGAATGAGGGCCGGACCTTCATCTACTCACTACCTACGCAATAACCGATCCTCGGACGGAGCCGTACCTGTGTTACCAAAGCTTGCTTACCTTTTGATTCATGTCGATTCTATTCTTCGTCTGAGACAACTCGTGTTATGGCAGTGGTGGCAGTTGGTTGTTTGGGGATCTTCTTGATGAAGGGTTTGTTGAACCGGAATTGATTCCTCTATGTATATATAGTCACTCGTGTTATTTTTTTTTTTTTTTTCCTTGACCCAGAGTCAGGTGAGTCCGGTTTGACAGCCGTAACGGCTAAATTTAAAGGAGTCGTATCCCAAAGAAAGAAATAATAAGCGTGATTTATGTGGGTCTGAGAAAATTTCTATATTTTGGGCTTTTAAAGCCCAGTGTAGGCCC